ATCTTCTTTAGTAAGTTTATGTTTAGTTGCCATAAAAAGTAGAATTTCACGATTCGAAATTCGTGCTAGCATACATGTTGATTGTGAAGATTAGATTTAATCATATATAGAATAATCTAACTTACATGTAACAGCTGAGTAACATCTTTTAATTTTAAACTTTGAGCTCTTCATTTTGATTATTTAAGAAAAATAATAAATACTGAAATAAATAACCAGTGATGACTGATATTTTATGATTCATTCAAAATAGAAATGCACAGACTATATTTTTATCTTTAGAACAATTCTTATAATTTCAGCATTTTGAACTTTTAAAAAAAAACCTATTTAAATAAAACATGCCCCATCATGTTTTAGAACAGAATAGAATAGAAAATCCCCTTTATTGTCCCACAATGGGGAAATTCTGGTGTTTACAGCAGCAAAAAGATTATAGGAAAAATGGTCACACAAACATGGAGCTTAGAAAAGTTTATAAGAATCACAATATAGTGAAGAGTTAAAAGATACTGTACTATAAATATATAAAAAAATGGTGCACATGGAGAATAAATAATCAACATACAGCTATGGACATTTTTACAGCAATGGATATCTGAAAATAGCAGCAACATCAGAGATGTGCAAAATGTCTGCAGCATGTTATCAAACTAACTGATTGATTGTGCAGCTTTTTCCTTCCACTCAACTTTCCTTTAATATGTTCAGACATGGTCAGCCCAATGCATAATGGAAAGGAGACCCAAAAAAACAATTGATTGTTTTTGTCCGATAAGGTTTATTTGAAAAAAAAACAACAACAAAAAAAAAAAATAATAATTCCAATATATAAATATTTTTTAAAATTTTCTCATCAATAGATCTAAGTTATGTAGAAATGATCAACTATACATAAAAAAAAAAAAAAGATCTTAGGGCCAAATCAACACAAAGATGAGGAAGGAGCAGTTGTAACTTCTCTGAAAGAGAATTATCTTTGAAAATAATCTGATGGTGATGAGAGTAACTGGCTTCAGAGATGGAAAACCTTCCACACATCCCAAAGCACAGATGACCTGGTTTCCTCCTTTCCTCTGTCAAAAGGAGAACTGAGTCACGCTCCACTCTTTTGGTAGCTCTGAAGACGGCCTGCACTCTCCCTCTGACTGTTGCATCTGCAGAGTGGAGCTTTCCTGACTCAGATTAAGATGCTCCAGGGTAGAAGAATGATGGGGTGGGCTGGCAGTGATTAGTTTTAACAAATTCGGCTGTCAGATCTCCTACAGCGATGTCATCAGTCACTTTCCGAACAGACGGAGGGAGTGGAGGACTGAGGAAGAACTGTGTAACATAGAAAAGTCAAATCTGTGAGTAAAAGTGGATCATCTTTTTAATTACAGCTTCTGAACAAAGCTGCAAACATTTCCATAGTTTTAGGAGATAATTATTCAACTAGTTTATTTTCACTTTCTATCTGGTTTTAGGGATTTTTTTTTAAATATCCATTATTTTAAAAAATGGTTTGATTTAATTTAGTCTGTTTTTTTTTATTCCATTCATTATTTTCATTTAATTTATTAAAGGTATTTTATTTGTTGTTGTTCGTTCACTACGGATTCGGTTTGCAGATTGCTGGTGTGGTCAGAACCAAAAAGTATAAATTACAGAAACTCTTATACTTCAAATAAACTATATACTAATTTTTTTTAAATCATTTTTAGTATCACTATATGACGCATCCAAATAAAACGCTGTAATCGGAAGTATAAGAGCTGCAGGGAGTCCATGGTAGATGTGTGAAGACTGTTGATGCAGCAGAAAACGACAGAAATAGGGGGCCCCAAATTCAAATTCTGCTTTGGGGCCCCCATTGGGGCTTGGGCCGGCTCTGGTCAGAGACAACAGCCACCTGGTTTCTTTTGCTCCTTTAAGGATTACATTAATGATTTTCTGCTGATTTGTCCAAACCTAACAAACCCATAAAGTAGCAATTCTATATGAAATAGATTTAGTTTTTTATATAATAGAATAGAATAGAAAATCCCCTTTATTGTCCCGCAATGGGGAAATTCTGATGATTACAGCAGAAAGAGAGAAAAAAATTATAACACAAATGTGGATCTTAGAAAAAGAAAGAAAAAATGCTTTTTTTTAATTATTTGCTTTTCTTAAAATAAATTAGCAAAGTTTACAGCTTTGAATAGCAGTTAAATGTACATAAACAGTGTAGATAGTAACATTTACTTCAGTACTCAGGTAAAAGTAGCTTTAAGTTCTTCCTGATACTAAAAGGCTTACATAGTTTTTTACACCCTGCATAGTGAGAGAAGATTAGATTTAGTCATATATAGAACAATCTAACTTATATTTATTTAACAGCTGAGTAACATCTTTTAATTTTAAAATTTGAGCTTTCCATTTTGATTATTTAAGAAAAATAATAAATACTGAAATTAATATCCAGGGATAACTGATATTTTATGATTCATTCAAAATAAAAATGCACAGATTATGTTTTTATCTTTATAATAATTCTTATAATTTCAGCATTTTGAACTTAAAAAAAAA